TGCATTTAGGAAGGTTTGCATTTAGAGGGAGCCAATCAAATTGCAGCTTTTAATATTTGATCTGCAGACTTGTATAATAAACTTAAATACTGACTTCTGATTGGCTACATGCACTTAGAGAGGTTAGTATGATATAAAAAATCTTTTGAGTGAACATGTATTTGCAGAATATAGAATGTGCATTTAGCACTAATGATTTCATACAGTCAAGACAAAAATATATATTTAGAGAGGTATTGTATTTATGGAGATTGCATTTAAGGAGGTCTGACTGTAATTTAAACTAATTTTTTAGAATTAATACTTATTAACCTGTTATTATTTATGATAATATTAGACCGATATTCTACTAACTATAAAAATTAGCAAACTATTAATCTAATATTATCTAGTTGATTAGTATATAATATTTGGCTGATATACTATTAATAATCAATACTTATCGATCTACTATCATTTAAAATGATATTAAATCGATATTCTACTAACTATAAAGCTAGCTAAATATTTTTTAAGTATCAGCCAAATATTTTTTAAATATCAATCAAATATTATTCAAATAATAATTTAAATATCTGTCTAATATCTTCTACTAATCTTTTTATCAATATTTGAATTTTTTTAAATTATCAGACCGATATATAACACATTTTACTTAAATTATCAGCCTATTAGCTTTTTTTATATTCTATCAATCAATTCATAGTCAATAGCCTATCAGCCTGATATCACTCTAGATGATTATTATATAGTATTATTGTAATATTTTTAATTTTGATCTGTATCATCATAATGATATTTGTATAATTTTTTGATAAAATTAACCAATATGTAACATATTTTTCTAAAATATTTAGTTTATCGACTTGTTTTTTTTCTATCTAATCTGTTTATAGTCAATAGCCTATCGGCCTGCTATTATCTAAGCTGATTATTTGAAGATATAAGAAAGATATTTTTGATTTTGACCAGTGTATAATCAGTTAATCAATCTGAACTAAATAAATTTCAAATAACTAGCTGAGAAAATTTTTAATTGATTGACCTGAAAATAACAAAATAATATATTAAGAAGTAAATAAATATTCTGAAAAGTTCTAAAAAAATAAATGAATAAACAAAAATTAGCATAAAGCTTTGAGAATTTTTAAAAGTAGTAGAGTATTAATTTTAATCGGTTAGCAACCAGTTAAATGAAAATTATTTGGTTAGTTATCTGATTAAGAAATTTTTTTTTAGTTGAAATCACTATAACAAACACATGATAATATAAAAATTTTTCTTTATTTAAGAATATTATTCTGTACAATTAGAGATTTAAATAGTTTTAAGTACTTATATATTTAATAGATAAATAAAATATGAAGTTAATGATTTGTTATACTTTTAAATAGAATATAGATTTAAAGTTAGAGTGATAAAGAGAAAATAAAATATATAGTTTAATAACAAAAATTATATATATATTTATATATAGGCCAAAGTACAATTAGTTTTTTTTATCAGTTATATTTTATGTAAATACTACTAATTTATTAAATAAGTTTTTTGGTTTTATATTTGTATTTTAAAATTTTTTTATTAGTTTAATCACTTTTTTCATTTGTTTTATTTTAAAATATCCTTTTCTTTTTTTTTTTAATTTAGTGATCTTGTTTATTACTATTTTATTGAAAGTACCAAAAATTTTATTAACAAAAAGATACAATTTTTTATACTATATTCTAAACTAGTAAAGATTAACTCAAGTTAAACCCAAAAATGACAAATCTAGTAGCAATTAGCTTTATATTAGATTCTCAACTTACTAAAGATTTGAGCTTTCTAATCATTAGCTCTAGTAGCTATATTGTTTCATTAAAAGAGCCAAATTAATAAAAATACAAATACAGAAAAAAAAATATAAAGATAAAAGAGAATATAATAAAATACAAACAAAAAACAAAAAGGGTAAGAGGATATCAAAAACAAAGCAAAAAAAAGATTTGTCTATTCTAATGATTACTATTATAAGCCTATAAATAGCTTATAAAAATTATATATTATTACAGATATAGAGGGCTGATACTCGATCCTAGTTTTGGTATATTGTTTATTAAATTGTTATATTTAAAATATATGACTTAACATATTTGTTGTCCTGTTATACCAATTTAGAAAATAAATAATACTAACTATTTTAGTATATATAATATTGATCTTTTAAAAAAAATAAACTAAAATATTTACTTTTTACAAAAATTTTTTAAAACAAAATAGTAGACTAATAAAAGTATATAAGGTTTTTCTTGTAAGAATTATAGTTGTATAGTTTAGTTTCTTTATTTCTACTTGATATTTTTGTACAGAAATTAGGACTTCGGATATCTCTCATATAGATCATAACTGATTTGCATAAATTTTGAGGTTTTTGCTATCTTTTAAATCAAGTAAATTTGCTAAAAAATCGAATTATTATATATAAATTTTATAGTAATTTGCTAAAAATTAAATTATTACATCTAGATTTATTAAAAATATTTTCTATTGTAAATAACAACAAAAAATATTATTTAAAAATCTAAAATAATTTACTACTAAACTCTTAACATTATACTAGATCTGGGTCTATTAAAGAGTTTAAAAATTGGTAAAATAAAATAAACTCAGGTCTTGTATATACATATTTACAGTTTAATAATCACTATATATTTAAAATCTAATTATATTTCTATTATATGAATTTGTTTATTATATGCTAATAGTTTATAAATGCGCTATATTTAGTTAGACCACCATCTCTATATTTCTACAAATCATGTTGTGGTCTCTATAGGTGAAGTGTATTTTGAGAAGTATGACTGTATTGGATATGTATTAGATTAAATTTGCATCAGACCAAAATTTTAATATTAAAGGTGAGGCCATGCCTCTATCTTTATTAAAACTCAGTTAAACTTTTTACAAGTAGAATATACAGAAAAAATTTATATTTGAATTCTATATCTATAAGATATTAAGATTAGAGGCTCAGACAAGTTATCTGCGACCTAAACCTAGCATCAGACCAAAATTTAGTTAGAGTAGGTGTCTAAGTTAGAATAAAATAGAAGCTATTTTAATTTGACAAAGATAATGACATATCAAATATAAATTATGTAAAGTAGTAATTTAATATAATTATACTTCAGATTTAAAATTAAGTTAGTAAGATATAATTTTTGATATATAAGTAGTGGCACAAAAATATCAGCACCTAATAACTAATAACTAGATAAAAAAATTTAAAAAAAAATTTTTTTTGCCAATATTGTATATATAACTATCAGCTTATGATTTATTAGGTCTTCTAAATAGATATTAAATTAAGTAATCTTATATATTCATAGGCTAATTAACTAAAATAACAATCATTTAATTAAATATAAAAAATTTTCAAAAATTTAAGAATATATATACTATACGAAGTTAATTTCTTGGTTTTCATATCATGAAAATTTTAAAACAAACTTGGCTAACCAGTTTTTTTTTTTAATTTTAACAAAGGTCTAATAAAAAATTTTCCAAATTTTGGTCTAATCTAGTTATGAAACCAATTAATTAATTTGTGTGACTTAATAATGAAACGTATTGCTTAAAAAATCTTCAAAATCAATTGTTTCATCTTTACTCATCAAGATTTTTAATCCAAAATTAAATGATAGTAAACCTAGTAAATATCATATCTGAATAAATTAATGTATCAACATAAGGCTTGTGGTAATATTTAAAAAAGTTATTTAACTTAAACACAATTTTTCATTCCATAATATGTTTTAATAGAACATGAATGCTATAAAGCTTTTTTTGCATTGTAAATTTCAACATTTCTTCTCACTATTATATAAGTAATAATAATCTAAATAGTTAATTAACCAAAAATTTTAACAATAAAATAATTCTTAACTTGTTTAGATTTATCTTTAACTAGTAAGATCTCAGTTGCTATAGAACCATGAACAACATTAAAGTTTGCAGTAGCTGTCTCTGCTTTAGCAGTTGAATCTATTAAAAAAACTGGATCAAAGAACTTATTTTTCTATAGATATAATAAAATTAGCCTATTTTTATAGTTAACGATAATATAATAATTTTAAGATAAAAAAAACTTTCATACTATTTTACTCTTAAATTAATTTGTCTAAAGAATTTAGATTTATAATAATTAAATGACCAGGTAAATTTAATAATATGTTGAATTCGTCTAGCAATTAAACTTATAGAATTGATTGGTTAGTCATAATAATAATGATTTACTATAAAATAATAGAATAGTAAATCTACTAATAAAATAATTTCTTTTTTAATATTAAAGTGACCTTATGGTCAGTTGCTTTTATTAGTTTATATACTAAGCTGATCAAAGTCAGCTACTACTTATTTAGTAAATAGTTTTAGAGAGTACAACTAGCTACACATACAACTTTTGATTGTCTATTTAAGTAGTTCACCTGAAGATTTTACACTAGATACCATACCTATAATCTAACTAGAGGATTACCTATTTAAACTCTCTGTGCTGCTACATCTTTATGAGGAACCAATATCTGCTATAGAAAGTGTCTGACCTAGGGCTAATTTACCCTTAAGATAAACTTGCTAAAGCTTTCCATACCCATAATTTGGCTAACCTAGACTTTAGTAACTTACGCTGAGTCTGAGAACAAGTACTTGTGAGCCGAGGCCGCTATCATTATTTACTTTTGCCCTTGTAGAGTTCACTCAGACCCCAGTACATACTTATAGACTATCACCAATTTTAATCTTAACAATTCCAAACTACCAATCTAGATAGCCCAGAAGGGCTATGACCTGCTTCTGGTCTCTACAGTTGGGTCCTTTTCTTCTGATTATTCTTCTGGTGGCCTGGTTGGTGAAGTGCCTTGCTAAATACTTTGGTTCTGTTTAGTTTTGCCAGTTCTTTCAGTAATAATCCTTTATGTAGTACTATTAAAAATCTGTGCTACCTTTTTATTCGAGTCTTGCCAAACGTGTTCTATTATCCTTTCTAGTTCTCTGGGTTTACAATGATCTGGAGCCTTATTCATATAACTTGTGTATTATACAAATGCCCATGATCTTCTAATTTTGTTGGTGCTACTAAGATTACAGAGATCTCGTTTTAACCATTAATCAGACGGCAGTAATGTCATAAGGTAGAATATTTCAAAATTTGTTGCCAATAGATTTCAAACTCCCTATCTAGCCAATATATCGTTTGGGGTGTGACAACTTAACTACTTCACTAAGTCACCACACCCTAAAATGACTTCTTTTCTTAAAAAAAAGCTTTTAATATATCTTAAATATTTTATATAAAATTATTAGAACTAGATTGATAAATATCATTAAAAGTCTAAAGGACTATTTATATAAATTGACTAATAAAATTGCTAATAGATAGATATTCAATGACTCCTTTTGCTCAATATATAATCTTTTAGACAACATAACCCGAGTATATAGTATGAATTCCTGTTCAAATTGCCTAAAAATAGCTAAGAGAAAAAATACTCAGTACACATAAACTATACTTATCCTTTAAAAACAACTACATACCAAAAACATTATATACCTTGAACAACTTATATCATATGACAATGTATCTTTACTTGACTGGTCACATATTTCATCACGACTATAGCATATCCCTACAGGTTGTAAACCACTATGGTTTACAATACTAGAAAATAATATTATCACTGACCTACAAACTAGAGCGATCAATACACAACTACAATTATCTAATGCAAATACTCTATCTTTTAGCACTGG